AAAGAGAAAACATCAGTTATGTTAACCCTTTAAATAATATTGTGTACATGTGAATGTAAATATGCTGGGTCCATTTTCTGTGCTTTACTTACCTTGTGTAGTTGCGTTTCCTAAGTTTCAAACATCCAATTCAAAAATGATACTATAAGCATCTGTACCTAACCATGATGACACCAAAATGATAAAGCGTATGCCTATGCCCCAGTTTATTACAGAGAAAAAGTACTTATTTTCTCATGTATGTGATCACCAGATTCTTTTACATCTTCTCCTAAAGGAACTTGTACAGTTTCATGTTCCTTCTCCTAAAGGAACATGTTTCTGCAGTTATTCAGGAGTAACTGAAATCCAGTGAATTTAATGGGTTTGCACCCAAATCAACATATTTGAATTACCAGACACTAAGTGCCAAAGATACACTTCTTCCCCAACCTGATCCCTTCTAGATATAAACCTCTGAAAATCAGCTCAGTGCATCTGGAGGGATCTATATTGGTGAAGGCTGGCTCGTGCATTGCCATGTCCCAAGACCTGCACACAGCCACGGCTCTGGTTAGCAAGTATGCCGTATGTAACGTAAGAAATCTCGACGTAAATCTTACAGGAGGCAGAACGAACAAAGTTCGCGGGGAGCCTCCTTTGGTTCACTGATGCCCCACATGGGGGGAGAGACGGCAAAGAGAGTTTCCGCCTCGGATTTGCTCCCCACAAGACTCCACGTGTGGACTGACCCCGAAGCCCCCAATGCGACCGGCCACCCAGCCGAGGGAGCTCCTGCTCACCTGTCCCGCCTGGAGAGCGAGCTGCACTGCCACCTCCAGGCACTCTTCCCAGGGGTCGTCTCTGCCGGGGGCCGCTTTGCCCGCTCCTCGCTGCCCGCTGGGGTTCATGATTACCGCCGCTCCTCCCCGCGCCCAGGATCTTCGCCTCCTCCCGCCTCTGCGTGGATCTGCGAGACCGCCGCGGAGAGAAATAGGAAGGGGGTCGGTGGCGACAAGTCCTTGAACTTTCTCTGGCGCTCCGGGGGCTTCCCTGGCTAAGGGTCAGGAGGGGGCTGTTCACTTCAGCCCCGCGGGGCGTCTCCTGCCCTCGCCGCTCTTCCTGCGCCGCCACCGCTATCCCTCGCTGCCCTCTCGTCTTCCCTGAGCCGCCTCGGTCCCCGGTACAGAGGAAGGCGGGAGAGACTCGACTGACACAGAGCCCGCCTTCCTCAGCGGACTGGCCATGCTTTCCGCCCGTCTAGAAGAGAAACCGCCTCTCTCCGCGCACAGCCCTCTTGCTGACACCTAATTTTAGGACATTGCGCTCGGGCTGGTTCCTCACGTAGCTAGCGAATCATGGGCGCGGGTGGGCGTTTCTAGAGCAATAGGATGTGATTCACAGGAAGTTCCTCGCTTCTTTTTTCACACAACCTCCACCCAGCCCCCCCCCTTAAAATGTGAGCCCAGTCTCTCTCTCGCTGTCTTACCCTCTCGGAAGCAACGTTTGTGCTGTTTTGCAGGTCGGTTTTTGCAAAACATCTTCAGATGCTGGCAACAGTTCTTGAAAATACGCCTTCGCATTTTTCCCGATTGTGAAGTCAGTCTGGAGCTCTTGTCGTGAAAGGCAATTAGTTTCATTTATTTATGATTGCAGAAATTAACACCCGCCCTTTTAAATACAAATTCCCCGCCTCAGGAAAGTCCGTAAGACCAACTGACAGCCAAAAAGTGAGCTCAGGTCTTCCAAATCCAGTCTTTCGAAGGCTTTTTGCTAAAATGATTAAATTATGTTTTAATTGAATTATTACTGAGGGGCAAGATAACATTTCTTTTAATGAAACCATTAACCTTATTTTATATCATAATGTTCTTTCTGGAAAAAAAACTAAGGAAGTTAAGACTCCTCTCCCTCCGTTCTGTGATTGGTCAGATCCTCCAGGCAAAATCTGCTTATAGGACATTTATCCAGCCACTGACGCGCGCAGAAAAGGTTTGAGTGTAACAAGCACATGGCAAGCGAATCTTTTATTACGTTAAATTAATTTTAAATTAATTTCAGTTAATTATGAAACGATAAACAAGTAAATTACAACATCAATGTTGCTTGGAATGTTGATTTGCTTGTTTTTCGTATTTTGAATGAATTTATTACAAATAATGTTTATCTCATTACAAGATAAGCATCCACACAGAAGAAATGTGAAGTTGGAGGAAGTAAATCTGCCATTCCTCTATTTATAAAGAGAGAACAAATCTCTAGGAAGTGGTCCTATTTGATAATCTAATAAATTAGTCTGTCTGCCACAGCTATGTGCCAACCAGAATTGTTCAACTGCTTATAGTATAAGCAGCTGTTTCCTAGTTTTTCTTGGGTCTGTCTGAGTATCTCTTGGGTTCACAGTGCTCTCTGAACCTGGCTGTTTTCTTGCAGATGTTTTTTTTACCAGGCTAGGTAACATCATCAGTGTTGCCTAGCCTGCTAACAGTGTTCAGCTGTTCAGCCCCCAGCTACATATATTCTCTTCTACTGGAACGTGAGCATCTGTTAAATTTAGACCATTTTAAGCAAACCAGTGTCTCAGATAAGTTCTAGGGGTTGGAAGGTGACTGCTGCTATAATATGATGGGGAAAAAATTAAATATGCCAATTTCAGGCTGGCGTAATTAAAAGTTAGCAGTAGGGGAAACAAATGGAAGGGAAGGGGAGAAAGCATCACTAAAAAGGTTTTTGTTTTGTTTTACTCATACTTTATCAGTAGTTGTTTTTTCTTATTCTAGTTTTGTATCTCTTACAAGCTTAAATAAAAAATGTCCCAATCTGAGGCCTCCTGGGATAACAAGAAAATTGGTATTCAACAGAACTAAAGCTGCTTCTGAACTAGATATACTCTTGGAATTTTTCTGGTGGAAGTTTCACCAGTACTTCGCTTATATCTATAGACCTTTCCAGGACCCTCCATACTGGATAACTCTGCATGGGCTAGCAGTATTTTCAGATAATCTGCAATTCTGTGGTAGACTCTGATATCCCTGTAAGAATTTGCATTTTTATAATATAAAATTTAAAATATGTTTGAATTAACATAGGACTATGCAGGCTTCTTCTGTTTTCTTTTATCACTGATGCTACATTTGGCCTCCTTTGGCACCTCTTGGAGATTACATCTGAAGGGTTTCACAGTCTGACAAATTAGAATTTAAATATAAATATTTAAATATGCTAACAATTTGCTTCAGCCTCAAAAGAGAATGAGTTATGAAATTGAATGGCAGCTAGCTTGGCTTTGTTCTTACAGCTAGTCCACTCTTAAGGTTCTGTGTTTGACTGAGTTATTCATTATTGAAAAGGATGCCTAATATGCTACCATGAATATAAATATTGACTATAAATGAACAGTCAGGAGAACAGAATTAGAAGTAGTATTCAAAGCATTTTTAAAAGTAAGAGTAATATAAATTAGGGCTGTGCAGCACTTGGATTTGAAGACAAAAAGGATGCTTCAGAAAGTCCAGGGGTGCACATGTTTTACCTGTCTTCAAATACTTAAACTGAATGCATATTTTTCTTTGATTGTACTACAGCTGTGGAGAATAGCCACATGATCCCAGGAAAAGATGCGGCTGCTTCAAAGGAGTTGCAGACAGTTGCTGCATGTGCAGTCCCCTGTGCTCCAAAGCATCTTTCTGTCTTTATTGTTGCACAGTCCTAATACAGATACAGATTACAAAAGTAACCCAGAATTCTAAATTTTAAAACTTCATTTGGAATTTATAATTTAGTTATCCATGAAATAGCATTCCTACTTAATATATTTTGAATGTATTCAATATCAAAACCTTTCTGCTCCTCTGGCAATTAATATATTTTTTCTATTCCATTTTTTCTTATTGGAACATGCTCTATGGAAATTCTGTGCGGAGACAGAATTATGCATGCATTACAATATCTTACTCACTGGAACATGAAGGCTGTGTTTGTAGGAAACTGCTTCTGTTTTTTTCACAGTTCAGAAGTTGTAAGTTAAGCTTCTGAATAATAATAGAAATACTGATTCATGATGCTGTTTAATCAGAGGCAGCTTGAGGACCTTTTGAACTACTATGAGAATGTATACCCAAAATAACATAGTTGTTGTTGCTATGACAATCTTTTAAAATTAAAACATTCCTGTAAAGAGTTATTCTTTCATTAACCATTAATAATATAAATGTCTGTGAGAGAGAACTATGGAATTGCCACTCATTTAGGTATAGAAATAACATACCATCTAAAAATGCAACCCAAAAAAGTTGTTAAACTGGAGAAGAAATGGAAAGATTAGCAATGAATTATAGCAACTTTCCTCCTAAAAAGGTTACAATGTCTAGGGTGCATATGTAGGTATATACAAAGAGGGAGGAAGGTCTGAGTTGAGCTTAACTTGAGGTTGCAACATAGACACATCAATATGTCTTGACAACAATGTAGACAGGCTCAGTCAGCCACTACTTGCTTCAGGGATTTTTTTTTTTAATCTGTAGCCTACAGCTCTGGGATTTCCTTGTGGTCCTCAT